GGGGCTTTGGGATATGGGTAAGTAATGGGCTGTTCCCAAATATTACTGAATTGGCCAACTTGTGCCAAAGTTCAAATCTATCCTTTAATCTAAATTACTAGAATCTACGCAATGATAATATGGTTGCATGGTCCATATCTTAGCGACAAAATTGTCTGGGCACATTTGGTATGGAGGGTTGTTTAACATTTTTTTCAGTTATTTGACACTATTGGGTATTGTAGAACATTTTTGCAAGAGTATTGTTGATTGCTAGATCTTTATTTTTCATTTTGAATCATATGGTTTAACTGCTGCATATTGTTATTACAAATACTAAGTTTTTATTATTTTTAATTATAATTTCAGAGATACACTACTAACTTACAGAATGACGCGCTTTGCACGCCGAGGGTTTGACAACAGAAAATTAAATGAAGCGACACCATGGGCAGAGATGAGGAAAGGTCCCAAAAATGGAAGTAAGTCTTGCAAGGCCGTGGATCTCTATTCTGATAAGTCACTAAACAGTCAAACTTCGTTAAACCTTGGGATGAGCATGAAGTATGTGGTACAGCGGGGCTGACGGTTCAACAAGGTTTATGTCCTGTGTTAAATACATGTTGCACCGACTGCCTAATGTCAAAGGAACGTGTCTGCCAATTACTAGATTGAGTAATGCGTTATCTCCCTTCGATGTTATTTTGACTTGAGCGCAAGTCATCTCTCAATAAAATCCCCACAAGCATTTGCCAACCTGTAAGTTATTTTGGGCTGGTATCTGGAGGTGCCAGACATTTTGCCAGGGGGGGGGGGGGGAGGGGTCCTTTAAAGTGTCTTCAGGCGACTCAAAAATTTATTTCCTTAGATCTCCATATTGTCTGAAATTTACAAGACAAGGATGGGGAGGTGCGATGGACGGAGAGGAAGCAAATTGGCAAAAAGCTTTTGATCTAAACCTGGGCCAAGCTTGTAGGTACTTGTGTATGAAATACAGTCAAATCTGCCATGACAACCACCTGTACAAACGGCCACTTTCCATTTCCTCTCTTGCATTTTTTCAATATAATTTAACTGTAAAACAATCACCTGTCCTATGCGGCCACCTTATTTTATCTACCCACGGTCAAATTTACCTGCCTAAGACAACCAGTATGGTCTCTTATCCCCCAACACTTTGTGATAACTTTGAATCGGCCCCTGACGCTGTGGACTGGCCGTCATAATCCATTCACCTGTCGTTATTGTTAGTCCCTCCAATGAATGTTTACTCAAGTTGACCAGTGGGTGACAAATTTCAGCTGTTGGTGAGGGAAGTGTGTGATCCGTCATAACCTTTGAGTCCCGCCCGCAACATATAGCTCTACACTAATCATATGTGAGGGGACTGGTCACTGTTTTGTTTATCTTTTTCTTCTTCTTCTTCTTCTTCTAAGTTCTATCCTGTGATTGGGGCTACCGTGGGGGCACCACTGCATCTGACAACCAGCTCTCGCCATTTCTCTTTGCCCTCTGCTTTCCTCAGATTGTCACCCATCGTCTTTCCTGTACC